CTTTCTCACGTGGATATGCAAAGACGCGGTTCACAGGCAGCAAAGCGGAAATCGTTTACGAGGATCATGACAGACGGAGGAGACAAGAAGGCGCACGGAGAGAAGAGCGAGAGGGAGAGTCGCAATGACTCTCCTTTCTCGAACATGGATCCGTTCGCGACTATCACTTTCGACGGAATGAAAGTGGAGAACGCTGCTGGCGTCTTCCAGGTGCGGGAGGAAAGGCGAGATAACGTGCGCGTGAACTTTTTAATTAGTAGTACCGATTTTATTAAACACCTGCGTTTTATGTCCGCATTAGAATTGTACTTATTATTAACTCATGCGTTTCCTCCATATCACTCGGCACGAAGTAAATTTACTTGCTCCTTGCGATCGGATAAAATCAGTACTCGTTTTGTGACGTAAACGCTGACCGGAGTTGACAAAAAACGATTACGGATATGTAGCAATCGTCGGAGCAAACGCGAAAGAATAACAATCGCATTTAATTATTCTTAACTTGCATGTTAAAAAAAAAAAGATTTTAAAATAATTTTATTGGGTGAGAGGTAAGATGTGCATGATGAATCACGAAATGTTTCTTTAGTAAGAAAGGTTGTTGATGTGCGTGCAATTTTGACGTTTGCCAATGTATGTCAATGTATGTGTAAATAACTACACGTGTATTTGGCACACTGAGAATGGATCGTGGCGATATAAAATGGCATTAAGATTATATAGATTCAGCACACATCACATCTACTCGAGGACGATGTTGCAATAATATTCCATTTTCGAGGCCACATGTTAATTATTTTTAATTGGCATATCATCTTCGTGAAGTGAACAATGTGATTTTGATATGATAATGTAGAAATTATGCATCTCTTTTAATTTTCCTCAAATGAAATATTTAAACATTTTTTTATATGTAAATTTATACAAAATAAAATATAAAAGAATAAATGAAGATAATTATTTATCAAATAAAAAAAATCAAATTAAGATCGTGAAGGTTAAGAATATTAAGATTTCTTAAATTATTTTAAGAAAGTTTTATTTCTCTTTTGTGCGCAATGAAAGTGAAATAAATAAGATTGCAATTGAACCGGACGCAAAGAGAATTTTTCCAAAGGATTTCTCGTATGGAGAAAGAAAATGGATATTCTTCAGAGTTGAAATTGAATTCGTGCAATGATTATCATAAACTTCAATTTTCATCTAGAATTTGTTCTTCAATTTCAAGATTTTTACTCTACCAACTTCCTTCCGTGCCTCATCAAAATTACTTTCTCTTTTCTTTTCTTTAAATTTACATCAATTATCTCGTTAAAAATAAGCAACATTTTAAAACAATGTTTGTATTTTTATAAGTTATTATTTGAAAAGAAAAAGAACTTGCGTTTTCATCAGATAATCACTAATTACTAAGGAAATTGAGCGTCCAGATGGAAAGAGATTTCTCCAGAAAATCGCGATTTAGCAACACTTTCATTAAATATTAACCAATATTTTATTATGTTAAAATATATTGTACTGATTTTTTGCAAATGATCATAAGTAAATTTATAATTTTTTCACTTTGCCAGTAATTATTTATATGTATAATGTATCTCTTATCTGGGATATATGGAAATGTTTTCCGAATGTTCTGTCTGTCTACACTTGTCCCCCTTGAAAAACACATGAAACTCAAAAGTTTCCCACTTATCACTATCTGACCACGTGGTCGTCGCGTTTAGCAAATTCTCCACGAGACACTGAAGATGAGTGCACAGCGGTCCCGGAAAAGGCGCTGATTGAGATTAGAAACGCGAGATTTGTATGAACTCACCACGCACAGATATTATATCCGTCACACGGTTCGCCGTGAAAATGTAATTTAATGAAAAAAAAAAAAAACTATTTCGTGGGGCCCTGAAGGAGCTCTCGGCGGCTCCTGCTCTCTTCGGAGTTTTCTGTTACTGTCTGTGTAGCGACGCTTAGTGAGCGGCTTTTATTAGAAGGAGGGGCCTGGACACCACCTCCACGCTACACTTATGTCCACGTCTGCCTCTCGTCCTCTCCTTCTATCTGCAACCTGCACGAGAGATCCTGAAGAAGGGATCGATAAATTTTGTTCCGAAACGCGGATATATTTGAAGGATGACCGTCAAGAGGTGCACTCGCATGTGGCGAGCTTTCGAATGTAACAACGTAATTTATATTTCTGTTATGCTAGTCTAGCAAAGCTTTGCATCTTGCGAGATCTCTTTTTCTGGATAAACCTTAACATTTCGATAAAGCCATTTCTCAGATACGATATCTAAGCAAAATCTTAAAATAATGTACGGACAATTAAACAGTAAGATTTCCCTTATCGGATTTCTCATTTACAACAATTTAAATCTTTTCTTTCCCGCGGCAGGAAGCTCTGTAATATTATCGATAAAATCAATAATTAGTCATAAATTATGAGAAAGACACACGCGTGTCAAAGATGTAGGTAGATAATATATCATAAGATGCGACACAAGATCGAAGGCATGAATAAAATTTTTAAGTAATCAACGGACAATTACGAAATAAGAATCAGTCTGCGGAGACATTTGTCTCAAATATATTTTTCGATACAGACATGATGTATCCACGTGTTGCTTTAGCTCGATACAACTGCGGAGTTGTCACAGATAATTACAAAAAGACTTTCCAATTAACGTCCTGCGATTATTATTTATCACGTTTATCCATGCGTTGCTAACAATCACTTTTACTCGCATTACAAAGCGGCAGGCATCGCAGCAGTGAAACCTTATTCTTTTTCTGATGACACAGGCTATTAGATGTAAATCCCCATGGATTAATGCAAAATGCGATGTCGCAATAGATAATTACGGCTCGCCGCGGATAATAAAAGCGCACATAAAACGCATCTCTCACTCGGGTCATGAAACACTCTAGCAGGTCGTGCAAATATTTTTCTTCAGGTGAAACCGTTTAGTCGTAGTGAAAACACCACGTGGCGCTTTTTTTTTCTCTCTCGCGGTTTATAATTTTAATAGGGTTAATTATAATAAGGGTTGAAACGAGGCGTTTTAATACGCCTGTAATATATTTCTCATTACACCATATATTACTGACAATAGGAAGTAGACAGATGTAGCATTGCGCAAATGCGCTGCTACATGCATCTTGATTCATAAGCAAATAAACCCTTCTGATGGGAAAGAGCAATTATGATACACCGCAATCTTACAGTTTTTATTACTTGTGCGTCGGAATATCCTTCATAAAGACACACAACCATCTATATAATTATATGGGGAATTGCCTTGAACCGTTTAAAGGAAATTTTGTATATGCTCTTTGTTTTAATTTAAATCAATCGTTTACAGTTAAATAACTCGCTTCCTACTGGGTACTCGATATCATTGACATTAAACAGGTGAATAATTAGAGAGTTATATATTTAATACTGTATTAAATAATATTGTTACGACCGAGCGGTGATCCGCTCGTCGTTTCCCCGGAAAATCAATACTTCAAGGATCAATATTTAAAGATCGTACAGAAGATCGTTCCCTGACGGATGTTTAACGCGCTGTTTTACGTATGGTTGTTGTTACGCGGAGATTTGAGGCGGACGTGTGTCCGCGGCATTTTAATTGTTCATTTGCCTTAATAAAGTTCTTATAAAGAAATGTTATTTCGCGCGCGGCTTTTCTGAATAACGCGATTCGTGATCGTGACCGCCGCGAACGCGACAATATATAGATTTGCAATTATGCAAAAAGTCGATTGATAACACTTTAATTTTATCTGCTATTGTCTATCGGCTTTCTCAAAATATCCTCAATGATAGGAATCACTTTTGACTATTGCACCTATCATCCTGCTCTGTTTAACAAACGTGAAATTTTTTCTTACTTAATTATTTATTTACCAACAAACGCTGTTTGGAAACGGAACGCACGTGAATTTGGATTACAGAAATGTGCATGTACTTTTGATACGCTTCGTTTCAGTTCGCAGCAATGAGGATATCTCTAATTCACATATATTCCCTGTTTACTTATTGCCGATTTATTTGGATATAAATTTAAATGTTTATACTTTAATGTTTAAATATTTTTTTCTTTAAGATAAAGTTTGAAGAACAATGGACTTTTCCGTTCATATCACCTATTGAATTGGCTTTATGTTATTTTTTTATAGAACTCAAATCTAATAAGAGAGTCTAATAACTTATAATAACAATAGAAAGAATCATAAATTAATTGAGAAATTCTCATGTTTTGCGTATGCAAAAAATTATCATAAACAAAAGCTATGAAAGCTATGAAACCCTCCCCTGAAATTATATCATACGTTTATATCAATGCAAAACAACGCATTGTACAATACGCATTTATTGTAGCGTAAAATAAAATAAATAAGAAAGTGAAATTTTCCATCCTGTAATAAGTCTTTTACATGTCATTGTCGTAACGAAATTGCAATGTCGTACTGTCATATATATAAAAGAAACATACATCTTTTATATTATGAATTCATTCGAATCTGTAATAATTTCATGTAACTATACTTTCTCTCCAGTTTAATAAATCATAAAACCATATAAATGTAAAAATTAAAGAACTAAAAGTACACTTTTAAGTAAGAGGATTTAATTAATCTTAAGTGATTATAATATATCAATTTTACGTGTCGATTTTTCATAATGTTTCACACGTTGTTTTCTCTTAAAATTAAAATCCGTTTATCTTAACGCAAGATCTACAAATATTTTATATGATTCGTAACTACATCCTAATTACATCCTTCAAATGAGTAGTAATTAATTGGATAACATCTAATATATTTCATAATAACGTATCTAATGATATTATCCAAAGTACTACCGTATTTCAGTACTAGAGAAATTTAAAATTTGAAACTTATAGTTTCCGCAAAATAGAATCGAAAGCGATACGTTCCAAGTACTTATGTTGCGTGCTTCTAGATTTTCACTGGTTACAAAAGACGGAGGTGCAAATTAGCACAATATATAATTAAACGTTTCCATGTTACCACTGGAGATACCAGAAATGTAACTGTTCTTGAAATTATCCATTAATTGGAATTCGATCCTTCGTTCTTGAGTCATTGCGCAATGTCGCTATTTTTAATGCTTAATAAATTTATTGTTTTTGAATCATCCGTGAAGTCATTTCATGCATATTACATTAACAATCTTTACCTACTTTAGCTCCTCAATTATGTCGCGTATATTGTTAAATCGCATCTTTACATTAGCAATTTTCCGTTGTTTTAAGGATTGCGAATGCTTGTTGACGGATTTGATTTTCCTCTCTCGTTTCCGTTTGTCAGTAACTCGGAATGACAGCAAAAAAAAAAGACACATAAGTGAGGCAATTATTTTTTCTTTATGACAAAAAGAAGATGATTTGTCTTGGAAAGTATATAATTAATGAGCATGTGATGACACATACTCTGATACGTCATAAGAGCGCGCATTATTATTTATAGTTAGGTACTTACAAATTAAAAGTCTATTATTTAATAATTATTCTCTTTTTATCCTAATTATAAGCAAAAATCAGCAATTATAATTTTCTTGGAACTCTACAGCTTGATTATAAATCTGCTTTTTCGTTTTCTCTCATTTATCGCGGTTACGATCTACGGAAATTCACAGTTCATTTTTTTTAGATCCTTACATTCATTTTGTCGGGTGACATATTATAATGAGAGTATAATGCGAACACACTTCCGATATCAATCGCAACTCATATCGCGTAACGCGGAACTTAAAAAAGAACCAACGAGAGATTTCCAATACCGGAATTATATTTGGACTAGCAATTAGTAACAAAAATAAATAAAGAACAAAGCTATAATATTGATGTAATTTTTATGTTAATCAATTATTTTAATGCATTTTGCTCGTCGAAAGTATTACATAAATCGGAAGAATAAATTTATAGTTAACGTCAAAAGAAAGGGATGAAAAGTTATAATCGTAACGTTGCTATACAGAAAGGAAATGCCTGGAATAATTATAGATTTAATTAATGCATACGTAACTGGCATTACGCACTTGTATATAGTGCAATAAATCTACTTATAAATACACAACTTACGTATACGTTAGTAATATACATGCGTGTGTTAAGATAAAAATTTCGGGCACTTTTTAATAAAAAAATAAAAAATAAAAAGATCGAAGTTCTTAATTATAGAAATATTTATAGATGACTTCATATAATTTTATTCAGAAAGATTTCAGATAATGGAAAGGTCTTAATTACCAATAAATATCGCTATCGTTATCATTATCGCGCAGCTAGTTATATTCTACCACATTAAAACCATATTTTCGCACGATCGAGGTATCTATGAAGGCAATCATAGGTCGAAAGAAACGAAGCGATGATTTCTCGTTATTATTCCGAATGTTTCTGGAGAGGCCAAGGCCGTTGTTCGATGTTCTTGCAAAACCGTACTTATCTTTGTGCATCACCTTGTGAGTCATTCTTGTTGTTCGTATTTCTTTATTTTTTTCTTCGCTTTCGCCGCATTTGTTTGATTCGACGCGTGTTAACGAATCCTCGGTAATATCTGGAATCGATAATATCTAGAGTATGACTTTGTCTTTTTCGAAATAAACGATTTCATTGATTTCATTGAACAACTAGGTAACCTGAATAATTTTTGCATATCACTTCAAATACCAATAAACAGTTTACGTAAAGATACATGCAAGAATTATAAAAAAACATTAATCACATAATATCAAAATATAATAAAAAATAATGTGTATAAAAGCAAAAGAAGAAACAACAAGAAAAAAAGATAATGTAGATAATAAAGAACAAATGTATAATCTGTAAGTTAATCCGACAAGTAGAAATAATCCGAACAAAAATAATTAATTTTCATTAATAATTCTTTTGAAAAAAACAGTTGTCAATGTTTCAGTAAAAAACATTTCAATTATTCATAATGTCTGTG